ATTAATTTGGTGTCAATTTTTGGCATAATATTTGTCTTACTTTCCAACATATTTATCTTATGTTAAATTAGCAGAAAAACGCGTGAAATTTAACACACTATTCCTTGCTGTATAAATTCGTTTCTTAGAGCCAGAAATTCGGTTTCCTTCGACCGAGACGCACTCGGCTCGTCATATTAATTCAACCGATCCCTTTCCTATATGTAACGAACAATCCGAACGATGCGAAATAAAATTCCATCGAGATCGAGCTCGCTTGGTGGAACCAACTGGGAGGAATCTTTCCTCGAAGGTTCGCAGACCTTTGAGAATTCCGCTCTCGCCGGAAGATTCCTCGCATTTTGACGAATAATCGCGGAACTAAAAACGGTCTCTCTGCGGCCGCTGCGTCGTTTCACCTGCAACGGATTGCTTTTATATCGAATCTCCCCGCGCTTTCTCCGGACACGCTCGGAATCAAATGTTTTTCAGTGAATGCAGAACGCTTTTCCTGTGCGTAAATTAGGCGGGCATACCGGAACCGCCGTTGTCAGCCGATCATTCGATTCCGCATTCTTTTTTTTTTTATCCGAACAGAGTCGGTCACAGCTCGATTGCGACGCGGATCTCGATCAACAGAGGCGTCGTCGTCGTCGGCACGCACGTGCTTTCTCTTCGTGTATCAGAAAGAGAGAGAGAGAGAGAGAGAGAGAGAGAGAAGTTCGAGAATAAAACGCAGTATTTTTCTGGGACGCTCGGTGATTGGAGAATCAGTGTGACGCAATTTAATGTTAAACACGAGACCTCGATAGATCGTACTCTTAATGACCATGTCTCGTGCCGAAGATGAAAACGAAATTCCGCAATTATCTCAGCGTGTAGCGTGACTGGCGCGAAGACTTTGCGTGGGTACTCGCGGACGACTCGCGCGAATCGCACGTAACGACGTCGAGGGACTATTAGAAACGCCTTCGGATCGTATCTTCTTCGAAATAACGGATCGGTTCTTCGAGGATCCCGCTCGATAATCCCCGATCGATGACCGATTCTCTCTCTCTCTCTCTCTCTTTCTCTCTCCCCCTTCCTCTTTCATTTCGCTTCGCGAAATCAACGGGTTGTTCGCTTAAATGCAGCTAAAATTAATACGCTCTTTAGTCACCCATGCTTCCAGAAGTGATTCGTGGAAGAGCACGTGGCTCTAAATAAACACTCACGCTGTTCGATTCCACGTTGTTTCTTTACCTACACCAACCAGTCCCTTGTAAAGCTTTGAACGTAATTTACTTATCTACTTAATCATCATACGAGAGACGCTTGTTATATTAAGAGCAGTCGTTATCAATAATAGTGCTGACACAGTCATATGTGTGTGTGTGTGTGTGTGTGTGTATTAGTTATTCTTATTATAGATATTAATTATTCTTTGTCATATTTGTGTTAGATTACAGAGACTTATGATAATAGGAATATCAAGGATCAGTGGTGAAATTATATTTCTTAGTCACTTGAACTCACAGGAGAGATAAGGGAGATTTGGAAAGTAATCTTGACATTTTATTTTCCGTGGCTTTTTATTCTTCAAAATTCTGTAACAACAAAGTTTCTGCAGCAGAAGAATTTCAGCAGCGTTTACATTTTCGTTGACGAGAAACTCCATAATAACACGTTGTGCAACTGCGGGATGCACCTCTTTCTCGCTCATCGTGATTGCAGCCGAGAGTAAGAAGCACGTGGCGCGCCAAACGTTATTACTGCCNCCCCCCCCCCCCCTCCACATGTCCAAAACGTTGCAGACACCCCTCACGCCGCCGACGGACGCGCAATTTAAAAAGGCCCCTTTATATTTCATCCACCCTCGTATTTGCGTTCCTTCTATCGTGATCGTACCATCGTCTGCGTAAGAACAGCGTCCGATGTCGAAGGATCACACGTGTAACGCTTTATTTGCGTAACAATCGACACGACGCCGCATAAAAATGCGGAAGTGCATTTTATCCCGCCTCGGAAAGTCGTTTTATACTCTTCCACCAGCAATTACGTTACTATTATCGATCTTGACCGGCACCGGCAGTTCGCGCCACACGACGCACACACACACACACAGAGTCGGCGCACTCTAGCGCGTGACGCCGCGCGCTCTCGTTTTTCTACATGCATGTACAATGAATTTATTCGCCGGTAATTAATCAGTTTGCATTGCGTATTGTAATTACGGAGGAGCTTTGCTCTGCACCGCACCGAGACTCGCGAGGATCGTCGCAAGGATGAAGCCTCTCCCGGGGAACGCGGATGAAAAAATGCCGCTTCAAAACAACGTTCGTCCAGTTGAGCCGGATTCTAATTTATCGTTTCGCTAATTAGAATGCAAATCAGTCGGATCTCGCCTGTATCGAACACCGATGAGGAATCGTAAGCGACGCGCCGCCGTGCGCTTTTGCACGCTGAGAAGAGGATTTCTTCAAATTTAATCAATTTTATCGCGTCCAAACACAAAATTTCATCATTCACGTGCTCCGAAGAAACTAATGTTTCCATCAATGAGTACGATTGTTAGACTCTTCAACGAATACTTAATACCTCCATATTAAGTGAAAAATTTGTTTGAGACGAAAGATAATTTTCTAAAGAAATGATTCGTTTCGTCTTACATATTTATCGCGACCAGATCATATTTTATTCGGTCGGAAGTTATTATTTCAACGTAACATCGCTCGTTTCGGTTAAATAATCGAGTTCTCTCGACTGAGACAGCCAAATTTTTACTCGAGGCAAATCATATTCCGTATGTGTCGTTTCTCTGGAACAAATTTCAGTCAAATAAATAGAAGCACTAAATCCAAAGAGACCTTTTTCTCTGTACAGAAAACCACTTTCAGGCTTGGGTGAGGAATCGTGCGTCATTATCTCTCTTTTCTCCTTTCTTTTTTTTTTTCGCAAATAGCAGATCGAGTCGGGAGACTCGGACTTGGTGGACGCTCGCGAACCTGTCCCGAACGTCGCCTTGTCTTTCTTTTTACCTGCTCGACCCGCACCTTTCTCTCCCCCCTCCCCTCTCTCTCTTTCTCTCTCTCTCTCTCTCACACACACTTTATCTCCCTCTCTTCCTTTCTCCTCCGTGTGTTCTCTCTCCTTGTCCCTCCCCTTCTATTTCGCCCGCCGGCTCGAGTTGCTTTCGAACTCTAAGTAACTGTACTTGCGTTTCCTGTATCTCTAAATTGATAACGCGATACCCAAGCCGAGGCGCACGGCGAATCGAACTGTATCGAAAGTCAGGATATAAGCCTCGGAGTGTACACCACGTGGAACGTGGTGATCTCTTCTCATCCGTACACGTGCCGGCACGTCCCGTGCTCTCTCGCGCTCGCTCACCGTACGCTCAATCCGCGGCTGAGGATGTCGTAACAACGTACGTGTGTACAGCACGCGCGCACACCGCGTGTAGGTTCGTCCTGAGATGACACACTTCGCTAAAGCGGCGTGTTTTCCGGGACACTACGCGGAGAAGCGGCATTCCTGAGCGTCCGGATTATGTTCGCTGATAACGTTAAATTACATAATACGTGACCAGGAACGGTCTCTCTCTCTCTCTCTCACACACATACACACACACACACTCACACGATTTTGTTTTGCGAACGATGACGAATCGCGCTCGTTTCTTCGCACAGAACAAACACAGTTTCCAGCCTGATCTTTTCAGCTACGAATCTTCACGTTTTCTTCGTTTCTCTCTCCATTTTTCCTGTTTACACTTAAAGAGAGGCAGAAGTGTCTCAACCTTGAGACACCAGGCCTGTGCGTGTGCCGAATTCCTCGCGAAACATTAATCGAGCCAGATTTATTGATATACCCAGGATGACCCCAGAATCACTGTGTGTATGTTTAACATGACAGATTCTCTTCTCGGGACGTTCTAAGACGAAAGTTCGGGTAGGAAAATGGTGAGGCTACGGCGATTTTTATAAATTATAAGCGATTAAAAGTAACTATATATGATCGTGTACGGCTGGCATTTCCCGCGCTCAGGTATGGCAACATGGACGGTAATGAGGGTGCTGTCATGATGAAGCGGATTCTTTCGAAAATTCGAAAAATAAAATAGATTATATACCAGGCGTGTAATATAATAATAATAATCCACGGCGAATGTGGTGAAAATTTATATCCTACTGCGTGAGAACACACGAAATGTTTTCCAGATCGTAAAACACAAAAAATCCAAATTACTTTTAGTATAGTTAAAAAAATATACCTTTTCTCCATTCTTTTTCTCGGAGAGGAAGCGAAAAAAAGTCTGCGGACAAATGGAAAAATCCTGTTTTCTTCCTTCAATTTTGTTCACTTGCGACAAAGATAGAAAAAACCGCGAATTTTTTGCCGAGTATTTGAAACTACTCTTAGCATCATTTTCTTTGTGAAAATTATATCTGTATTAAGATTTTCTCTCAAAACAATTCGTTCTCATACTATTGCCGTCCGTGTTGCTACACCTGAGCGCGCGAAATGTCAACTGTACGATTAATTAACTTTAACCTCTTGCAATTAAAAAATTATTATAACCTTCTTCGTACTTGGACTTCCGTTTTAGAATGAATCCCAAAGAAGAACCTGTCATGTCAAGAACATACGGTGGTTCTACGATCGCTCTCTCCCCTGCGTAGATACACACATCCTAGCTACTGGTCTTTTTAATTAAATAAAAAAAAAAAAGAGACACTATGTCTTGCTGTAAATTCTCAATTTCGCAGTAAACGTCTGCTGAAGTTACAAGTGAGACTTTCCACTTACACGTATCTCAGAGCCGAGGCCTTAGACGGGAATTAAAATATTCGAGCTGGGAGAGCCACGCCTTCGTTTAAGTCGAGGCTCCCTTTGATCCTTTTAAGCAGCTCCCATAGTTAGTAAGATATCATTCCGGAACAGCTCTTACATTACGTAGCTCTAAGCGGGTAATAGAGAGACGGCCGGATAGTCTGTGGAATTGCCGAGTGTGTTCACACTCTTCGTGTTTGTGCCGGTAGGTGAAGGCTGCGTCGAGAAGCCCGTGTCGACCCTATGGCGGAACTACGTGAGCAGCAGCAGGCCGGACGTCTCGATGAGGTTGACCGTCACCAGCGGTGGTCTGACCGCAACCACAAAGGACCACGGCCTCACCGAGTACTGGGCCCACCGTGTGACCTATTGCACGGCCCCGGCCTCCCATCCGCGGCTCTTCGTCTGGGTATACCGGCACGAGGGTCGCAGGCTCAGGCCCGAATTGAGGTGCCACGCCGCTCTCTGCAGCAAGGAGTCCACCGCGAGGAGGCTCGCCTCGATCTTGAATACACGGTTGCAACAGGCGCTCTTGGAATTTCGCCGGGACAAGGTCTTGCGGCAGAACGCCAGGTGAGAATGACAATGTTGCGCGATTACCGCGACCGCTGGGAAAACCGGAGCGAAGGAGGTGTATTACGGGGGCTCGTCGACGAGTCGAGGGGATGCCGTGTCGATCTTGGAAACTTTTCACTCGATTTCCAGATTGTGAAACACTGAGGAATCTAGGATACTTTTGGCACGGTTGAAGGAAAAACCACTTTTTTTCTTTTTCAATTTTTCCTCGGAGAGAAATCAAAAAAATCCATGGAAAATAGAAAATTCCCGTTTTATTTTTAATTTTTTCTCACCCGCGGCGAAAATGGAAAAAAAATCCGAATTTTTTCGAGTCTGAAACTACGGCCTTTGGTATCATTTTCTTTGGGAAAATTATATTTGTGTAAAAATCTCCTATCAAAATAACTCGTTCTCATACCGTTACTGTCCATGTTGCCATACTTGAGCGCGCGAAATGTCAATTGTACGATTAGTTGACTTTATAAACCGACAAAATGCTGATTTTTCTCCGCAATGTTTCTCATTATGTTTTATCGGTCGCACAGAATTATAAGTGCTTTTACACGGTGAAAGTACGCGCAAAAATTAATTGGAGCATGACTCAGTGCGACGAGAACGATAAAAAATTTCGAGATTAGCATCTCTAGCTGTCTAATTAGCGTAAATATTTCAATATTTATCCGATATAGAAATCCAGTAGTTAGTACGTGCCGACTGTGTTAATGCTGTAATCAGGAAAATCTCAAAAATATCTCAGTTCAATCGAATTCAGAGGCCTAAGAAGAAAAGATCGCAGAAAAATTTGTATATATCTCGATTAAACTTCTGTTAGATATGGTGAAACGAAGTAGCGCATATTCATCGCATTTATATTTATATTGCACTCACTTTTACGTAAGATGTGTGCAAGAAATATAAAAAAAGTAGCAGCGTTTATGTAGAACGTAACGATTTAAAGATCGCTTCCAATGTTATACCTAAAGAGAAGATCGTTTCATTAAATTTTATGTATCTTTAGTGTTGTTAACGTGCCAAAAATCTTTCTCACGATTTCTCGGGCGTAAAGTTCGCCGGCTTTCCGTTAGGTTCGTTCCTATGTCGGGTAACGCGAATTCCTCTCTCATTTTTTTCGTGCCCCGTGATCGTCAGGTCGTCGTGTATGCTCCGGCGCTAGGAGCCGTCTTTCCCGATTCCGAGGAACATCCGGGAGGAGAAAAGAGAAATTCTCCATCTTCGCGTTCCGAGAGAGGTGACTGTGCGCGGTTACGCACGTTCGTGCATTCAGTATGAAGTCACGATCCCGGTCACGATTGTAGATCGTTATGCCCGCGATCGAGTCACGATTCAGGACGAGGCGACCGCTGAGCGATCCGTGCATTCGGGTCAGTGTTTCCAAGTCGCAGGTCAAAAGCGCTTCCAGTACTCCCTGCTGGAATTACGACCGGAGCGATCAGCACTTGGCACCGTGTCATCTCTCATTCGAGAATTTCCTGGTTTGGGGGGGGGGGGG